GTCGTCTGTTGAGCTCCTTCGTGGTAGTGAACGTGAGCAGGTTTTTGTGATCAGTAAATACCGTGCATTCAGGCGCACTTGCCACGTAGATCCGCCATTGCTATAAAGCAACAACGACTGCCAGTAACTCTTTGTCGTGTATATCGTAGTTTTGTTCTGCTGGTCCCATCTTTCTAGAGTAGTATGCAATAGGCATCCTGGTTCCGTTGTGTTCCTGTGTAAGGCATGCTCCTATCGCGAGATCTGAAGCGTCTGTCTCGATCTGGATCGGAATCTCCGGGTCGAACATCTTGAGTTCTCCGGCGTTCGCCATTCGTTGTTTGACGGCGTCGAAGGCTGCTTGACATGCTTCGGTCCATTGGTATGCATGGTCCTTCTTCGTCAACTCCGTAAGCGGCGCTGCGATCGCGGAGAATCCTTGAATGAATTTTCGGTTGTAGTTGGCTAAGCCGAGGAAGGCTTGTACCTCCTTAACCGTAGTTGGGGTTGGCCAATCAGTAATCGATTGTGTCTTCTTAGGATCCGGTCGGAAGCCTTCTGTGCTTATAATGTTCCCGAGGAACTCGACTTCTTGTTTGTGAAATTCGCATTTCTCTGGCGCGGTTCGGAAGTCGGACTTGGAGAGTCTCTTAAAGACTTCCTGGACGTCCTTAACGTGTTGCTCCTTGTCTCCTTTCGTGAAGATGAGAATGTTATCCACATAGGCGACGACGGTAATGTCGAGGAGGTCTCGGAGGAGGTCGTTAATACATCTTTGTTGTGTTGCTGGGGCGTTTGTAAGTCCCATTGGCATCACGAGAAACTCATAGAGTCCTCTCGACGTAAGGAACGCTATCTTCCATTCTTCGCCTTCTTTCATTCTAATTGAGTAGAATGCGTCTCTGAGGTCGATCTTAGTGAACCATTTGGATCCATTCAATCGGTCGTGTAGCTCACCGATGTTTGGTAATAGGTAGCGGTCCTTGATAGTGATCTCGTTGAGTCGTCTGTAATCTGTAACGATTCGAATCTTTCTATTCTTTTTTGGTACCGCTATGCATAGTGCTCCTGCTGGGGATTTGGATGGTCTGACCCAGCCTTTCTTAAGCATCTCGTCTAACTATTCCTTTTCTGCTTTGAGGTAGTCTTCGGATTTGTGTCGGATGCGCATAAAGGGTGGCGTCTTGCCTGGCTCCAGCTTGATTTCGTGGTCCCAAGGTCTGTAAGGTGGAAGTTTCTTCATGTAGCTTCCTTCCTCGAACAGGACCTTCTACTGTTAATATTCTTGAGGAATCGTCATTCCTGTCTCTGCCTCTGCGGCATTGTTGAGCTGTCGAACCATCTTCTTTATAGTTGTCGTATCGAGTGCCTGTATCTTGCATCGATCTTCCGTCATCGCGGGTTTGTTATTCTTGAATTCAAGTTTTCTCTTCTGCCAATTCACAATTGGCTTGTTCATTATCAACTATGGAAATCCGAGTACGATTTCATGCCTTGTATTGTTTAAGACATCGAATCGGGTTTCCTGCTGCAGCTGGTCAATATGCAACTTCACTAGCACCGTCTCATAGGTAACCGTAGGTAATTCTGCGCCGTCAATAGCGGTCAATTGGTATGCGTGCTTCTTTCGTTGGGTAGCGATCCCAAGTCTCTGCACCAAGTCGGCTGAAATGAAGCTTGCGCTAGCTCCTG